TATCTAGTTGTATTGAGGATTTCATGCACATGAAATGTCTAGCAAACTCTGCACGGAACAAGTACTCAGATAGTAATGGGAGTTGTTACTAGATAATATTAACCTCAATTTGATTTTTAAGACATGAAAAAACTGAAACTCAGGGAGGTGAAAATGACCATAGACATCTGACCTAGAGTCTTGGCTTTGCTTCTTATTAGCTGGTCTTGCTTGGACAGGTCACTCAAACTCTCAGGGCCTCAATCACTCCATCCTTGCTAGAACTGTCCTTGGTTCATAGTAGACACATAATAAATACTTGGTGAATGAACTAATGCATGACAGAAACTGCAAAATCCTGGGTGAGTTCTAAGTACCTTCCTAGACCTGATGGGTCATGTTTTGATATCTCATGAGATGCATTTCTGATTTGGAAGAACACCCATCCTAGGCCATGAGAAAATATAACTTTGGAGGGGTCTTTGTTTCCTTTATTATTTTCACTTTTCATCAAAGACATATTCTTCATTAAGGTTGCATTTCAGTTCTTGGACTTTTAAAACAAAGCCATTAATTTAAGAAAACTATAAATGTGAAACCCACATTAATTATCTGAGCTGAAAGTATGCATAATGCAACAAACACTGTCATACAATTTGCATATAAATGAAGTGGAAATAAAAACAAGTGGAGGTATAATTTACTCTGAAACTAGATGTGTATACATTTTAAAAAATTATGTTTTCATTGTAATTATTGTCAAGGTGTGGAATGTTCATCTCCATGGGTAAGTCAAAAACTACTCAGGAGACAGAGCTACCAGGCTCGGAGGAGTAGCAAGTGTCTCTTCTCTCCCTGGGTAATTTTTCAAGAGGCCCTGTGGCAGGACATGAGAATAGTGGCAGACTGAAAAAAATGGCCACATCCCTTTACAATTCCTTCCACAGAGAGGTAAAGTCTGTTTCCCAAGCCTTTGAATCTGGGCTGGCCTTAGGCCTTGCTCTGGCCAATAGAATGTGGTAGAAATGACAGCAGGCAGACTCTAAACTAGATCTTTGCGGCTTTGTGGCTTTCATTCTCACTGCTCTTGGAACTTGGCCGTCATGTGAGTAAGCCCAGGCTAGACTGCTTAAGGATAGAAGACCATGTGGAACAGAATCAAGGTGTTCCAGCTGACATACCAGCCTTCAGCTGTGTTAAGTGAGCAGTAGAACTGTCAGGCCGAGCCTCAGCTACATCTCCAACTCGGAGGATTATGGGCTAAAAGAATACTTGTTGTTTTAAGTCACTAAGTTTTGGGGTGTTATACAACAAAAGCTAACTTATGCAAGATCAAACCTAATGAAACTCTCTTGAGCTGAGCATGAGCAAGAAGCTGCTTACTGGCCTTTGTACCAACCAGCATGCTTTTTTTGTTTGGCATTCCATATATGCAAAGAATGACCATGTAACTCAAGCCAGTATGCTCTGAGAGTAAACTGGAACTATCGTATTGATGGTTATCTATGTTTTGCTGAATCACAGAATGTTACAGCTGGCCGGAAATCTAGAGATCTTCCTCCACTCCTGCATTTCACAAAGGAGGAAATATGAGGTTGAGATTTGAGATGTGACTTTTCCATGATTGCACGATGCATGTGTCATGTGGGAAAAACCACCGTAGTCAACATGGTAGCATGAGAATGCTCCAGAGGCAGGAAACCAGGGTTTGAGTCTAACTGCTCTCACTAGTAAGGCTGTGCAATCTGGCCCTGTAGTTCTATAGGGATGGACTTTGTTTCCTCTATTGAGTTTAGAGCAACTTAGAAATAGGAACTGTGGGACTTCCCTGGAGGTCCAGTGGTTAAGACTCTGCACTTCTAATGCAGGGGATGTGAGTCTGATCCCTGGTCGGGGAACTAAGATCTCACATGCCAGCGTGGTGTGGCCAAAACATTTTTGTTTTTTTAAAAAGAGGAATTGTGATTGATGTGACTTTATGTCTCTTTTAGGGCAGAAAGCCTGATGCCTGGCATATAATATGTGTTCAATAAATATTGGCTGAGGAAATCTACAAACACCTAAGTTTCTAACAAAGAGCCTCATTTCTGCTTGGAACAGCACATGGTATACTCAGAAAAAGACAGAAAAAAATCCAGTCCATCCAGCGATGGCTCTTGGGGGTACAGTGAGGACAAATCCCACTGGCCACCCCAGCACATGCTGTAGGGGCTGGCTCCTGTGGGGTACCGCTCAGCAAATGACCAGTCAGTGGCACTGCATGGGGAGTATCCCGTTCAGCTGCATCTGCTTGCTTTGCACCCTGGGGATTGTGGCATCAGCTGGAGCAGGTCTAACTATAGCCATGGTGGAGTCCTGTTTGTGGTCCAGGAGTCCCTGGTTGAGAACACTGATCTTCCTTAACCGCTTCCTTGACTCAGATCACAGAGGGAACGAGTACTGTGCCAGCCTTTGCTCCGAGTCCCACCCAGCCCTGAGGTTCCAGGACCTTAGGTCGCTGGCAACCTCCTCCCATTTCTGCACGTCTTCCTGATGGCTCCAGCCATTGTGTACTGACATTGATCACTCTTTTCTTTCACAGTTATTTTAAAAGTTATTATTAAATTAACAAATCGACGTAGAATTGATTTACAATATGTTTCAAGTGTACAGTACAGTGATTCAGTCCTATATATACATACACACACTATGTGTACATATTCTTCAGATTTTCTTCCCTTATAGGTTATTATAAGACACTGAGTCTAGTTCTCTGTGTTATACAGTAGGTCCATGTTGGTTATCTACTTTATAACATTGATCAGTCTTATTAGTGAACCAGGCCCCTCTGCTCTGGGCCATATCACACTAGACCCGCTGTGGGGATTTAGAAAACCTTGTCTGTCTCCCTCGTTTTCCTCCTTGAGCTAAGCAAAAGCATTGAGCTAACTAGCAGAGAAATGGTGACAGAGAGGGAGAGAGAGAGGCAATGAGTGAGTGAGCGCATGTGAGCATGCACATCTCAGATATGTCCTTGTGATGGGAGCCAAGAAGAAACTGAACGCATTCCAGCTATTTGGCTGCACGTTTCCAGGAAGCCAGGCCTTCGTATAGAGCGGATGCTCTGTAACAGCATCTTGAACAAAGAAACCTAGATAGTGCTTTAAATGAGCCACACCTGCTACATTCACCCTTTCCTAGCAGACGTCTAATGCCAGGGGTCTTTACACTGGGGTCATTCCTGGCCTGTACTTGATAAGACAAGGCTCTCTGTCAGGCTGGCTTATTTCTGGGTCAGAACAGAGTAATGAGACAGGATGCTTCTCCAGTCTTTTTCAAATGAGGAAAGTGGGATCATCGCGGGGCTTTTGAAGAAGGATGCTAAATTATGCTGGATGTTATTGCAGTATTCTATTCCAAATGCTTTTAGAAATGTTTTTGTATTTTTACCTTCTGGCACCAAGAAATATGAGGAAGAGCCCAAGCTGTGTGGTCACATGGGCCTGGGTGTGAATCTCAGCTCCATGCCCTAGGAAGTGACCAGGCATGAGCTAGTTAACTCCTTTTGCCTAAGTTTCTTTCTACTTATATAATTAGTAGATATACACTTTTGTTGAATGAGTACATGTGTGAAGGCCCGTAATAAAAAAGGGGAGCTGTTTCTCTTTATTTTTTAATTTCTCATTAGTTCTTTCACCCAGTGGCCCAAGAACCCAGTCTGACAACACTGGAGGGGATGTTCTTTTAAGCTGATCTACATTCAGACTGTACTTTGCTGATTACAAGATGGTATTGTGTTCATAGCACCCAGTACATAATCGTGGAAGATAATAATATCGATTATGGTAATGATAATCCTGCAGGGAGCAGATCAGACATGTACACATTTATACTACATGAATGCATTGCTTTAAATTATTTTTTGAATTGAATGAGTAATTTGTGTACACAAATAGTCAACAAAATGTAAGTCACCCTTCTGCCTCCGACCTTCATTTCCCCTTTGCAGAGACAATCACTGTGGTAGTTTTAAAACATGGTTGCAAATTCTTTGAAATTGCTGCCATCAAGGGTGTCATGTGCTGTAGGACACTGATATATATTTTGTTGCCCTAGACAGATTTATGATCGCTCTGACTAGTAGAGTTCAGTGGAGGTGACTCTATGTGACTGCTGAGACTAGATTAACCAGAGACCAAGGAGCGTCTCCTTGTGTGGCAAGAACACTGAATCTTGGAGCCCGGACCTCTTATGTAAGACATCTGACTACCTTGATGCCGCCATATAGTGAGGAACCCCAGTCACGCAATAGGTTCTCTAGGAGACAATCCCAACTGAGCCCAGACTTTGAATCATCTCTGCTCAGGTGCCAGAAACATGAGTGAAGAAATCTCCAGATAGTTCTCCGGCTGCTGCTGCTAAGTCGCTTCAGTCGTTTCCGACTCTGTGTGACCCCATAGATGGCAGCCCACCGGGCTTCTCTGTCCCTGGGGTTCTCCAGGCAAGAACCCTGGAGTGGGTTGCCATTTCCTTCTCCAATGCATGAAAATGAAAAGTGAAAGTGAAGTCTCTCAGTCGTGTCTGATTCTTTGCTACCGCACGGACTGTAGTCTACCAGGCTCCTCCATCCATGGGATTTTCCAGGCAAGAGTACTGGAGTGGGTTGCCATTTCCTGCTCCACCGGATAGTTCTAGGCCCCAGTCATCTGAGCCTTCCCAGCTGAGGCCACAGACATTCTGCGACAGAGACCAGCCATCCCCAGTGTGACCATTTGAATCCCTGATCCACAAGATCCATGAGCAAAATAACCTGGTTGTCATTTCACACCACCAAGTCCGGGGGGTGGTTCATCATGTAGATTTGCTAACCAGAACAATCACTATTATGGTGCATCTGTCCAGAGAAATTTCAAGCACATATATACATATGCATGTGTATATGTCATCCTTTCTTTCTTTCCTTTTAGAAGCAGGCTCTTGTTATATGCTGTGTTTCCCCTCCTCCCCCAACAAGAAATTTTTTAAAAAAATGCTTTACTTACAGGTTTTCGAACATCAGGTAAGGTAATCCAGAGAGGAAACACTATGGGGAGAACAATTAGGAATGTGACTTGTTTGCGTGGATCAGAAGGCCAGGCCAGGCTGAGAGGCTGGTCCTCTTCATCTTCACCCGTCTCTGTGGTCTGTTGTAGAAACAGATAAAAAAATAAAAAAGACAATAACGTCCTCAGGCCACAAAGCAAGGAGGGAATCTCGGGATCCCACCAGGAACTTTCTTGGGTCATCTCAGCTGCTTTCAACCATGGACTTTTTAGGTCTATAAGAGAATCCCATCTGTCATAGTCTGAATCTCAGGAACAAGAAATACATTGCTCAGCCATGAGGATTTAAGAACTTCCTTTCCTTTTTATCTTTCCTAGTGGCTCAGGTGGTAAAGTGTCTGCCTACAATGTGGGAGCCCCGGGTTCTATCCCTGCGTCAGGAAGATCCACTGGAGAAGGAAATGGCAACCCACTCTAGGACTCTTGACAGGAAAATCCCATGGACGGAGGAGCCTAGTGGGCTACAGTCCATGGGGTCACAAAGAGTCAGGCACGACTGAGTGACTTCACTTCACTTCACTTTCCTTTCCCTGAACATTCTCTAGCTTCCTGAATTGATAATTTCAACTGGAGTGAATTACAGCTCCGATCCACAAACTTCATGGGAGAAACCACGTCTGCATAGCAAAAGACCCCAATTATGCAAATCTATGTTGCATTTGCAGGCTTCCCCTGTTGAATGCAACATATATTTGGCTCAGTGGTAAAAGAATCCTTGGGTTCCATCCTGGGTCGGGAAGATCCCCTGGAGGAGGGCATGGCAACCCACTCCAGTATTCTTGCCCAGAGAATCCCATGGACAGAGGAGCCTGGCAGGCTACAGTCCAGGGGTGGCAAATAATTGGACATGACTTAGCGACTAAACAACAATGTTGCATTAGCAGAGAAACAAGAGAATGGAAGTAAGAGGTGCTAAACCTGTGCTTATGGAGTGCACAGGGCTGCAGAGCTAGGGGGTAAATCTCAGTGTTTCTGTCCAGGCAGCAAGCAGCCTGTCTCTTATTTTCTGCCTGCTGAAGCCAGCAGCTTTTGAACTCCCAGAGCAAAGAGGGGCAGAAGACAGATCAGGGCCTGGCAGGATGACCGTTAGCCTGTCAGCTGGACCCTCCAAACCTCCAACACAGTACTGCAGATAGCATCCATCACTCCCTTCCCTGCTTGTTTAAAAATGAAAGTGTAGCAGGCAGGACCATGCGTCAGATCTAAAAATATCAACAGGAATTTTCCACTGATGCTTCCTTTTGAGACCACATAAATAACCCACACAGCTTCTGCTCCCCTGTGTCCCCTACCTGGGACTCTTGCTTCCAGTATCCTGGAGTATTTCAAGCAGTAGCAATGAATCCCACCAGCACCTCTCCCTAGGGAGGTGGGAGGTGGGCCAGTCTCGGGCCATGTGGTCTACAGGAAAAGCATGCGACTAGAGAGAGGAATGAGTGTGACACCCGACTTGCTACCGTGTTATGTTTACTTATTTATAATGCATACCCTAATACTGCCAAAAAGATTTTTAGTGGCTTACACAATTACCCTCACTTTCTCTCCAGGAGTTGAAACAAATAATTAAAAAAGCTTATCTTAAGCCATACTGAAAAAGGTTCTTTCTATATAAGTGTATGTCCTTGGCAGCAGGTGAAAGAATTTTAAACACCAAATACAAGGGAATTAAGAGGATTAGGTAATAAGGCAGAATTAGGAAGTTGGTGCACATTATTTGGGTTGTCTGGGTCTTCATTAAATATGCTTCTTATGTTCTCCATCTCTTTGTTCTGCAATATGTTGGAAAAAGAGGATCTAAAATCAGTCATCTACGTTTCCACCTTAGGAAACAAGAAAATGAAGCACAAATTAGATCCAAAGTAAGCAGGAGAAAAGAGATAATAAAAATCAGAGAAGAAATCAATGACACTGAAAACAGGAAGTCGACAGAGAAAGTCAACAAAAGCAAAAGCTGTTTCTTTTGCTACGGAGGGTCCATCCACCGTTTCCTTTACCCATTCCTAGGGCTCCTACCCCTGACAGGAGCTTGGGTGTGCTGTTCCTGGTTCCTCTTCTGAGCCACCTCCACCTTCTCCCAGAAGATGCAGCAGATGTAGCAAATATCACTCCCTATGGGGCTCACCCAGTCTCCCAAGGGGTCAGTGGACTACATTAACAATCTCTGTGTAACGAGACCAGTGAAGACTAGAAAAGAGGTGCATGTTAACTGTTCTCTTCCAGATATGATCTTTCTTGTTTTAATCCAAATGAATGACCTTCTGCTCCCCATCTGGGAGATGCCTCAGGAATAGGGAGGATCATGGGAGAGTTGAGACCTTACATCACACGTAATAAGTACTCTGTCTCATGCAAGGTGAGTGGTTTTATTCAGACAGAGAGGAGTCTAGCACTTCTTTGAGGACCCATCAATCTGATCTGGTGAGGTCATCAAGCTCCTCCCCCTTCCAGAATGGACACTCCCCCCCACCCCCCACCCCCACCCCATGGTCAGGTCCCCCATTGCCATCTGCAATCTAGAAACTTCTCTCTAAACTCTAAGTTAACCTTTTTTCAGAGAAAAAAGCAAAAGCAACTCTTTATGACTCATATCATTTTAATGACACCAACAGATGGTGACATTTCATCAATAACCCTTCTGCTTATAACCTACGGATTAGCTCCTTTCTCCATCTGCCAAAGTCACCAGGCAGGCAGTGCCACCAGCAAATAATTGTCTGTTTAGATGCATAAGCTCTAAACACACTACTGTCCAATGCAAACAATTAGCTATATTGTACGGCTTCCAAAAGCTGCATTTAAGGTGGCCGTTGCTAGGGCAGAAATGGACAAGGAGAAGATGCTGGGTCTCAGGCTACACAAACAGTGCTCTCTGTGGGGACGTCATGGCCTCTTGTGGATGAAGCTTGCCATAGATAGAAGTTCAGGGGCCCAGAACCCTGCAGAGGATTTGAGAGGTACCCAGGCAGCAAGGCTGTCAGCATGTCTTAGGGGAAATTCTCTTTGTCTTTTTGCCAAGTGCAATCTCACTCTGGTTCAATGAGTGACAGCTTGCAAGCTAGTTAGAAAAGTGGAAAAAAAGTACTGTTCCAAGTCTGGGGCTTGTTTTGCCTTTGCCCAAGCTGGGGCTGCTGGCATGATCATTTGTCTCAACCCCGGGAGAGGCTGGGCAATGATTTTCCAGTTTTTCCTGGAGTTGTGGCATCCTGGCTTTGACCTTGCAATAACCCATCCTTACCTCCTAAAACTTCTGTAGCATATCCAGAGAAAATGCAAAAATGATCCAGAAAGAAAAAGTCAACTGTCTCGTGATAGAAGGGTTTAGAATGGTGTAAGATCTGGGGTCTCCGTAGAATCCCTAGAATTATGCAAAATCAGGGCAGCAATTAACGATTTTGCAAGCCCTGACACAGGCTTCCCAGGTGGGGCTAGTGGGTAAAGGACCCGCCTGCCAATGTAGGAGATGTAAGAGATGTGGGTTTGATCCCTGGGTCAGGAAGATCCCCTGGAGGAGGGCACAGCAACCCACTCCATTATTCACGCCTGGAGAATCCCACGGACAGAGGAGCCTGGTGGGCTACAGTCCATGGGGTTGCAAAGAGTCAGACACAACTTAGCAACTAAACAACAATCCCTGACATGGAAAACCTGAGACTAAAACACGTGACTCTAAGTTTCCACACAGTGACGCTCTGGTTGTCCAATCTTGAAGAAGCCAGTGCAGCCTGGCAGGAAGAGTAGGTGGTGGAGGATCAAGAGATTTGAATTTCAAGTCAAATTTGGAGAGACAGAACAAACAGCAACAAAGAATTTATTCTTTATCTATTACGAGGATGCTGGCAAATGACACAGCAAGAGCTTCGGATTGTTCTCTAGTATATATTCTGCATGTTATGGATTGAATTGTGTCTTTTCCAAACTCCTGTGTTGAAGTCCCAGCCCCCAGGACCTTAGCTGTGACTGGAGACCAGGCCCTTAAAAAGGTGATCAGGTTAAAATGAGGCCATTATGACGGGTCTTAACCCATTGCGATTGGTGTCCTTATAATAGGAGGCTAGGACTCAGAGAGACACCAGGGATGTGCATGCTCGGAGGAAAGACCATGTGAGGACAAAGCAAGAAGGCAGCCAACCGGCAGGAGAGGGGCCTCAGTGGAAAACGACACCTGGACACCTTGATCTCGGATGTTCAGCCTCCAGAACTGTGAGGAAGTGAATTTCTGTGGTTTAAGCCACCTGGCCTCTGATTTTTTTTTTTTTTAATGGCAGCTCTAGAAACCTAACATATTGCCCTTGTGCTTTAGTGACAGAAGGCCTCCTTTTACCTGGGCCTGGAATAAAGTCTCTATTTCCAACCTTTCTTGCAGCAAGGTGTTTCATGGGATTAAGTTCTGGCCAATGAGATGGAATGGGAAGTATCTTCTGCAACTTCTGGGATGTGTCTTTAAAGGGTGGAGGTGTATCCTTCATCACTCATCCCTCCTTCCGACTGCCAGGAATGGGGACATTTTGGCCAGAATCTGAACAGTTGTCTTGGACCCGCAAGGTGGAGAAAAAGTATAAAAGGATCTGACTTTTGACACCCATCAAGAGCCATTCTGGCCCTGGGCTGCCTATAAAGACTTGGGAGAGACATAAAATTCTATCTCATTTAAGTCACTGTCATTTTGGGCTTTTGGTTGCTAACGGTGGAACCTTATCCTAGCTGATCCGGTGGCCTCTTTATGAGGAATCAAGGGAGAAAAATCTTTCACATCTCAGCACTAGGAAAATTCATGCTTCTTCTAGAAACTTTGTGACATCTGTGAATCAGGGAAATGATGCTATTTATTTCTTTGCACTGGAGAGTTCAGAGGCAAATTTGTAACCCCTGACCAGCAACCACAGCACTGGGATCTGAGCTGACCTTAGTCTAGTCTTTTCTAGTCTAGTCTTACTGATACATTTCCCCCTATCTTTTCCATCCTTTGCTGCATTTTTCTTAAAATAGTCATTTTATCCTTTTTTTCATCAGATGTATTTTGCAAGCAGCTCCAAATCTTTGTGAAGCAAGGTGGGAAAGACCTAGAAATACAACTCTGCAGT